GAACAAGGGCGATCATAAAGTTGGTACACAGATGGGAGAGTACAACCAGATGGTGGGCCACACCGGCTATTAGTGAGCGTTCAAAGAGGCCATCCTTGCGCTCTTGGGTCAACACGAGTGATGACAAAATCATTTGGGACAGGTATATGTAAAATATCAAATTGGCCGACAGTCCCGTGTCCTTAATAAGCAGACCTTCTGTGTTGCGGGTCTTCTCCACCCGTATGGGTATCTCAATGTTGGGCCCGTTTCGGTCGCGGGTCAGACCCGCCAACAGACGCAATAGACTTTCGCTTAGCGAGTGCTGAAACGCCTGACCAAACATGATGTGCGAGTTGTCTACGTATGTGTGCACTGAGCCCGTGTCAATTGTGTCTGGGTCCAGATCGGCGCCCATAGGGGCGTCCAGTCGCTCGTCCAGACTGTCCGAGTAGTTGGCTTTAAACCAAATGGCGCCGACAGCCGAGCCGTTGGTCACCGCCTCTATAGCAGCTGTGAGAGTCGGGTACAGCACCGGACGTATGACGTGACGCTCTACCGGTACTAACGAGTCCAGTAATTCAGTGCTATAACCCGACGGCTCTCCCATTAGAGGCCGCTCCTCGTTATACACGGCGGCCGTGATTTCAATGAGGGGTCGGGAGTAGACCAGACAGTAGATGACCACTTGAGTGGCCGGCAGTAGTATACAGATTAGGGCGCAGTTCATGTGACTGTATTTCAATAGATTGCGTTTGATTAGTATCATTATAATCCATAGATTAAACATTAGTGTTTCGAGTAGTGGCGTTGGCTTTGTGTCCATAGGTTTACTATAGGCGCTGACAATTGGCTTTGGTTTTGTGGCAATTATTGAGTCAAATTCTGTGATTATATATTTGTTATTAAGAATATTCTGGTTATTTGATACAATATTTTGTTTGCTATTATTTTGGTTATTATTGGCGGTATTATTGGTAGAATTGGTAGTATTTTTGTGACAATTATTATCCAATAAGCAGAGTTTTAAGAAAACATTTTCCAACGAGGTTTCCTTAAAGCGGTCGATCATTTTGCGCGGATTCTCTTCGGCCAATAGCCTGCCATTCCTCATGAGTCCCACTTTGTGAGCATTGGTCGCCTCTTCTATATAGTGAGTGACAAACAATATGGTCAGTCCGTCCCTACACCGCATGTTTAGGTATTTCCATATGTTGTGTATTATGAGTAGGTCTATGCCCACTGTGGGCTCGTCCAGTATGACCATGGTCGGATTGTTTAATAGGGCGCAGGCTAGCGATAGTCGCCTTAGTTGGCCACCGCTCAGGCTGTTTATCACGCATTCATTTTCTGGTAGTTCTAGTAGTTTTTGGAGTTTGGTGTATCTAGGTTAACATTTAATTGAATACACATTTTATTATTATTAATACTTTAAATTATACATAATTTTGAATTTAAAACACAGTTAAAGTTAAACTGTTATGTACTGTAAATTTATTGTATAATTACTAATATTGATATTTATAGCAAACTTGAACTATTCATTGTGGTATACCTGGGATTACACTATACTTTAATTTTAAAATATGCTGTAAATTTTACAATGTAAGATAATTAATCTGATTAAATATTGCAAACAAAACCTATTTCAAAATTAATGTTGATAAACAGTAATTATTGATACAGTGTTGAAAATAAATTAATTATTAAATGTGAGTTACTTGATTAAAATTATTTAAAAACAACTACAATTGTAATCTCCTATTTACATATAACAATTGACCAAGCAACTTTTACATACCTGTTGGAAAACTCAGCGCTAGATATCCTATAAATATGCATAAAATACTGAAGAGTCTGTTCAACAGTGAATTGCATACAAAGTGCACTATTCTGTGGCATATAACTGATCCGGCGGTTGGAAGCGCCCGGTTGTTGGCCAAACACCTCGATCACACCATGTTGCACATTCATACGACCCAGTATTAATCGTAACAAGGTGGTTTTCCCGCCACCACTCGGTCCTAGCAGGGCATATATTTCACCGGCGTTTACTTGAGCGCAAAAGTTATCAAGCACATTATTCCGATGGTATTTAAACGTAACGTTATTTACGGATATAGCACTCATGGTAAATTATTTAGCAAACAATTAAATAAATAAGTTTTTAAATAACAAAAAAAACTATAGATAGATGCTATAAAAAACTAATATTAATTTTTGTTGTTAACCACAAATGAACCATTAATTTAATCTATAAGGGTAACTGACTTGTAAGCAAATTTAATCTTGATCATTAATCGTTAACTTGGTTGAAAAAACAAGTTATGTAAAACAATACACTTTTAGAGTATACAACTCATACATTTTAGCACAAGATTTCTGAGAAAAACATTACACAAATAAAATATTTGCTTTAAATAAACACTTTTGCTTCACTTTTCTTCAAAACCACTTACAAATCAAATGCAATGAAATATATTATATAATAATATTTTTGCTTGTATTAAATGAACGGTAATACAAATGTATAAAGTATTAAAATTATATGTTTTGAAAGGCACTTGTATTTAGGACAGGGATATCAGAACCGAAAGTGTAAGTGTTATATACAGTGATGTCTATAAAAGATTTAATGAGAAATATTTATTTTATTTTATTTTATTTAGTTTTTTGGTCAAAATAGCGAAAACAGGTTTTTATGTATAGGTTTTTAATACATAGTTTACAAAACACAACAATATTTTATGTAAGCGAATGCTCTCATAATTGAAGACATAGGGAAAAATACATTTGAAATTTCCTATTGTTTTTTGTTATGAATTATTGTATTTTATGTTCATTTATGCAGAAAATATTCACATAAACGGTGATTAACTTGTTTTTGATTATACTTAAGACATTCATAGATTATATGCAAGTTTATAAATTATAATACATGTTGTTTTGTGTATTAAATAATTGTATGTCATATAAAATTTATTAATTGAATGGTAATCTCATTTGAAAATCAGGTTAGGGTTTAAGTATATAAAATAAAAATAAACAAAAATAAGTCAATCCTTTTCTTCAATATTAATATTTCACATATTATTATATTACAGAATATTCTGCAGTAAATTACATGTATTTAAAATATAATTAAAATGTTATGTTTTAACAAAATATAATTATTAGAAAAGACCTTGTTAAAATACTACTGTGTCATAATAACTAAATATATACAGAGTATATTATATTAATAAATTGATAAAAATATTTAATATTTAAACACTATTTATTCAGAGCATTTACAGGTCAGGCGCTAATTAGGCGAGTGCTCAGTGAATACCACATTAAATGTATACAACATTTAAGGAAAAAAATATATCAAATTTATTTTTATTAAACAACAATTTTTAACGCAAAAATTCTTATCTCAAAGTCATTAACAACTCAAACACAAGTCTGTTATGCAATGCAATGAATTAATTAAATTCATTTGACTTATAAATCATATGTTTATATGTAATGTAATATTTTGGTTTAATTGTTACAATTAAGGTATTTCTAATCATTGTAATTTTACTGAAAGAAATCTTTACCATGAAAATATTTTGATTAATTATCACACTACGCATATGAAATATTTACTGTATATGTAAAATACTTAAGTGTGTATTTTAATGTTAAAAACAATTAAAAACCTTTGATGATTAACGACTCGTTAAGAATAATTGATTGATATCTCAATTAAGCGCCAAAAATAAATATTATATTTTGACAATCAATTAATTTTCAAATTATTTTTAAAATATGTTATTTGTAGTAATAATGTGATAAAATCCAAGCAGTTTATTATAGAGAAAATTGAATCATAAATATTTTATAATATTATAATTAATGAACAATAAGTCAATTTAAAATTTTTATTAAATGACAAGTATCTCACCAAGGTTGCAAAGAAAATTACATGGAATTGTGCATTGTTATATTTTAATTTTGTCTATTTTAAAAGCTTAAATATATTTAACAATGTTAAATTTCAATTACAAGTACTTTATACCAAATATAATAACTTCATAAATAAATTCTATTTTTTTACATAAAAACTCGATAAATTAATAAAAAAGATTTATGCAACAAATACAGAAATTTAACCATAATTTAGTGAATACAATGTGAAATTTAATCATAATTAAAGCTTATAATAATACTAGGAATTAAGTTTTACTATATAATTTACTCATCGGTGTAACATTATAAATAAAAATCCATAAGCACAATGTTAAAGAATAGTCTATAATTCATAGAGTTAAGCTGATATGCATTCTCATAGCAATGGTTATGAAAATAATAACCTCATTATTAAGAGATGATTTTGGCCCAAAACCATTGGGCTTAAAATTATACATAAATTAATGATAAAATTCAAGAAATAATTAATTTGCATATAAAAAGTGTCGGAAATATTTAATTAAGAAATGCTTTATTGTTAAGTCAGAAACTATAATAAATGACTGCAACATAAAAAACACAACACTTTGTGACAGAATTGTCCCTAAAATGTGTCTCAAATATCCTTTGATGTGATTCTTATACTAATAAATTATATGTTCATAAAAATTGATTCTTATATTCATATATTCATTATTAAAATGAGATTCACAGTAAACAGAGAGCGAGAGAGAGAGCGAGAGAGAGAGAGAGAGAGAGAGA